TGAGTAAACTTTACCTTTATAGTGCTGCGTTTCTGTGGCTATTAGAATAAGTGGAGTTAGTGGAAACTTTCATTTAGTTTTTATTTAAAAGAATGCCAGAGAAGAGATTTTATCATATTGGATCATAAGATATGAAGAAGGAGGGCTAGTAAGATGAAATCTTCGGGGGGCGGTGGGGAGATATGGCATACCTGTATTTTCTGTATTTTGTGGTTACAGACTGTGCTCCTAAGCTTAACCTTTGGCCCAAAGTGGAGTATGGATAAAATAATCAACGTGAAATTACTGCATACTAGCAATTTGTTTACTCTGTTGCACATAAAAGAAAAGAATATCAGTTACCTTAACAAAATAATTTACTGAGTTAGCTGATAAAATGGAAGGCTGGAGAAACTAAGTTTGGGTATCTCTAGGGAGTCAAGGTAGGGGGAACTGACAGGGTCTCTTCAATGCACTATTGTTGAGAATCAATAAGCTCCATATATATATTAATTAAGATTCAGGGTCCTAGGAGAGAGATCCTACCTGCCTTGCTTGGGTCGGTACCATTCTACATGTCAAGATCAAGGAACCTTGATTTATAGTCCCACCAACTGTCTACCTATAGAGAAGACCCAAAATCCCCCAAAGGAAATTGGATACCATTACAAAAAGGGAGGAAATGAAAACGAGTCTATTTGTGAAATCACCTTACAGAATACAGAATATAAGAGAAATAGCAGGAGAGAGACATCTAAAGAATAGAGGAAACTATACAAGAAAGGTGTTACCCTGACAGAAAACAAGAAATCACTAAATGGTATTTTCCACCATGTTCTATTGAGACTACATGTATCTTAAACTATGAAACAATTAAAGGTCAGCAGCTGTTAGGAAACTCTTTATAAAAACTTGTCTTTCTAGTCAGAGTTGATACACATGGGAGCTTTGTATTTCAAAGGTTTGCTCTCCCAAATATTTACCAGTGAAATGTCACCCAAGGCAAAGCAAGGAAAAGGTATTTGGTATATGAAGGCACTTCTGTCTACTTAGGTCTGAAAACTGGAAAGGAAGATATTCCTTCTCACCCTTTCACTCTCCTCACTCCAGAAAATACTGGCTTTAATAATGATTCTGCAGGTGGAGCCACGGACCATACCCCGAGTGTGCCAGGCCCCGGGTGCACATCGCAAGCGTGTGGGAGGAGACACCCCACCTTCAGAGATCCAGTTCTTAAGGGGAAACAGCAACATCTGTAGGTCAGGGGTGGAAGTGGGGAATTAAAGAGGGGAAAAAAAAATGATTCTGGCGTTTTGCTTATATAAATGTGTACTTTTCCTAAAGTGCTGTAACTAGAAGATTTAAATGAAAGACAATCTTGCGTGCATTTTTTTTATACCACCTTTTAGTTTCATTAGATATTTGGCTATTGCTATCATATATCATCTAGTTTAGGGAATTAAGATTTTATTTTCTTTAAAGGGATTCTAAACAAGAATTGTAAAGTACTGAATTGTCATGAGAATTATATTGTTTACTTTTACAACAGTAAGTACTGGAGGGAGTAAACTTCTGATGGAAGAATATATACTTGCTTACCTAAAAGGATTTTGATATTTGGAGGTCTGAAGTATTCTGTCAGCTAACACAGTTGTATGGTCTGAGAAACTGAATTTTAGACTCTACGGTTTTGTACACAAATTGTAACATCTTTCAGTTTTCAGTTATTAGATATTAAAATATCAAAAATAAATATTCAGTTATTAAATATTCAATATATTGATTTATGCAAAGGCCTGTGGCAAGTGGTGACATAATTTTGGCCCATGTTCTGAATGGCAAAGTGAGGACATTTACAGAAGCTTAGGTAGATTGATGGGTGTAACTATGTCTCTCTTAAGTTAGCCAAATGGCTCACTAACTAGGGACATGTATGAATGGGTAAATGATATTTCTACTGTCTGTACTGGTTATCTGATGAAACCACAGCCTAGGGAATGTCTTGGCAACTTTTGTGCAAAGACTCTGTTGAACCTAATTTCAAACCTGACATGGTGAAGAGACATAGGAGGTATGGATTATATGGGAGACCTTGTTGGGGGCAGGGAGGTTAGGCCTCGGGCCTCCAAATCCAGTGCCATATACACTGTTTCAGAATTTAGAAAAAGAAAGAACATTTTCAGACTCTTTTAAAATATCATTGTGATACCAAAAACTAGTAAAAATTTTTTAAAATATAGACAAATCTCACTTATAAATCTAACACTCCCCAAATAGATTGACACAATCAAAATAGTGCATTAACCAAGGAAGATTTAATCCAATAAGTCTAGGATGGTTTAATAGTAATACTACAGATTTCATAGTAGAAAATGCAGATTTTATTATATTAAAAGTTTTGAGGAGAAAATTATAATACATCTCCCTATGCACTGGAAATGCATTTGACAAAATCTAGTAAGCATTCTTTATAATACTCCAAAATAGAAAAATATGAATGCTATCTTAAATTTGTGAAATAAATATATCTCACCTCAGGCAGCACCATGGCATTTGAAGACATTCCCACTACAGTTAGGAACTAGACAAAGAGGTACACTCATATTGTTTAACATTATTCTGAGTATCCTGTTCAATGCAAAGGCAAAAGAAGGAAATTAGGAGTATAAGAGTTCAAATAAGGAGGTAAAACTACCACTGTTTGTAGATGATTATATAACTATATCGTATCGTGTGTTATTATACCCAAGAGAATCATCCAAAGATCTACTGCAAATGAGAGAATGTAGTAAGGTAGTGGGATCCAAAATTAACATGCAGACATCAACAGATGAATCAAAGAAATAATCCCAATTATAATGTTAACAAAAAGTAAAGTATCTAAAGATAAAATGAAAAGAAATGTTGGGGAAAGCATTAAACACTAAACACAAAACTAGACTTGAACAAATGGAAAGGAACACCATGTTCTTAGATAGAAAGACTCAACGTTATAAAAGTATTTGTTTTCCTTAAATCAATGTATAAATTTAATTCAGTCTTCATGAAAACACCATCAGATTTCTTTCAAAACTAGACAAACTGATTCTGAAGTTCATGTAAGAAATAAATAAACAAAAAGAGCCAAGAAAATACTTAAAATGTGTGCAATGATGGAGACAGATGGAAAGAACTTAGCTCCACTAGAATTTAAAATATATTTAAAAAATACTTTAAAAAAGACGTTGTAATTAAACTAATGTAGTAATGATGAACAAATAGACAGATCAATGGAATAGTACAGAAAATCCAGAAATATACCCATATGTGCCCAAGAATTAGACAGGAATTACAAATGGCTTTCACTTATGAAATGACATACGACGTTCAGAGAATGCTGAGAAATGCTGTACATTAAAACTATAATGAAATACTGTTTTAAAGCTACAAAATGACAAAAATCCAAAATTTTCACAACACACTCCAAATTGCTAGGGATAATATAAATTGATTCAATCCCTTGAAGCCAATTTGGTAATACTGTTTACAGTTACTAATGTACTTACCCTTTGACTCAGCAATTCCTTTTTGGGTTTTACCTAATAGATATGCATATATGCAAAAAGATATATGTATATATAAAGTTATTCACTGCAGCACTGTTTTGCATTGTCAACCATAGAGGATTGGTTAGAGTTAAGACAAAGCCCTATACTGGAACACAATCAGCAGAAAGAAAAGAATAAAGATCACTATGCATTGATGTGAAGGATCTTCAAGATACTTGTTTAAAAAAAAGCAAGAAACGTACAAATGTATATAACATGCTATTTTTAAAAAACTAGAGGAAATCTATACTTGAGTTACTTATGTATGTACTTATATCCTAGAAGGATGTAGAAGAAACAACATTGGTTATCCATAAGGGTGTAGAAGAAACAACATTAGTTATCCATAAGGGAGTTAGGCAGCAATAGGTAGATGAAGACTACATTATATATACATATATTGTCATTTTTTTTCATTTTTGAATCATGTGAATGTTTTGCCTATTCAATAAGTAAATAAGTGTATAGTCATATGATGAGATAATGTATATACATATATACATATGTATACATAAACACACACTCATATGAGGAGAGAGAGGGCAAGAATAAGGATGCTCTGATGCTCTCTATATATTGATAGAGAAAAATTTCCAAAGGCGTTAAGAGACGAAAACAAGGTATGGAATGGAATGTACAATATTCTACTTTTTGTCAAAAAAAGAAAGAAAACTTTTTGCTTGTTTTTGCTTGTATATGCATAAAAAAGCTCTGGAAATTTACTCAGGTTGGTGAATGTTGTGATGTACTGCCAGTTCTCTCCAGACCCCTCCAGAAATGAAAGATTCCTTGCCCCAGCCTCTGAGAGGGCTACTGGCAGATTGCCTTCAGCTGACAGCCCCTGTGGGGATTGATTGCCTCTTCTGTAGAGAATCACCTCACCTAAAGTTATGCCCGCTTCCTGGTTGGTACTCATCCAGTGACTGATCAACATGGGGGTATGAAGGGACAGCTCTCCATTCCCCACTCCAAAGGGTCATCCCAGCTTTAGAAATCTTCTTCCTTCACACACATGGCGGCTTGCTTTCTCCCTCTGCTGTCTATTCCCTTTCCTAAGAAGAGAGCACTCCTAATTAATCTTCTTGCTAAAAGTCTGCTTCCTGAGGAACCCGATGTGTCATAAGAAACCAAAATCAGTGATTTCCAGTGGCTGGCTAAGGGTGGGAATGTGTCAGTGGAGACAAGGTTGGAAAGAAGACTTTTTACTCTTTACCATCCTAGAATTAAAAAAAAAAAAAAAAAAAGACGTGGATGTATTACTTATTTGAATCATAAATAAACAATTTAAAGTTAATTTGATATGTCAGTGATATGCTTTTCCATGTGTATTTTCTGAGAAACTCTTCTATGTTTTTATTTAGGAAAATGTGTTTTTAATCCAAAATACCATGCCCCACCACACTCTAAAATGCTTTTCTGTTTGTTTTTGTTTAGGACTTACAGAGAACAACATCCTCGATCTCACCTTACAATGGAAATTAAAAAGTCACCCGATGGCGGATGGGGCTGGGTGATTGTGCTTGTCTCCTTCTTTACTCAGTTTCTGTGTTATGGATCCCCAGTAGCAGTTGGAGTCTTGTATGTAGAATGGCTGGATGCCTTTGGTGAAGGAAAAGGAAAAACAGCCTGGGTTGGATCTCTTGCAAGTGGAGTCGGTTTGCTTGCAAGTAAGTGGATAAACTTATGTTTCTCTTCACTCATGAATCATTTAATTACATTTGTTGCATCATTAACACTGTGTGAGGCATAAGGGGCTGTTTGTTTTTAAAGTATAACACATATTTTCCTGCCTTCATTGAAATTATACAACCATACTTTTACTGTAATAAATCCGTATGAAAATACAGGAATTCCATAAGATACTCATTGATTTCTTTATTCGCTTATTTGCTACTATGTGCCAGGCAGTGTGCTAGATGCTGAATATGAAAAGATGAACAGCAAACACATCGTTCCTGCCCTTAAGAGGTTCACAGTCTAGTGAGAGACATTCATACCTCCATGAGTAAGAGTGATACAGGGAGATGAAGGCAGTGATTCAGGTATGTCCGACAAATGCTGGTGACCAGAGGACCAAATGGTATTCAGCAGTCCTATAGGCAGTTCCTATATGATTCATAACTACTACTCTTCAATTCAGATACACCATGATTAAATTACATTTCCTACATTTCTGTCACCTTATTAAGAAAAATTTTACATGGCAAAGGGTAGTCTCATTTTATACTGATGATGCTGTTAAGGATTGGAATATTATATATAAGATATATGTGATGTATTTTGTGTGAACTTTGTATAATGTCTCCAAAACTAATGTTCTTGATAAATGTTTACATATAATGTAATAGTGATTCTTATCATCTTTACAGAGAACAGGAGAAGGCTTTTTATTTTCCTTCTAAGGATTAAAATCACATGACACTTCTGTTCCTGGAGTAATAGTTTGAACGCTGCAGCAATATTTAGTGATTATCAGTTTAACTTACTTGGAACTATTTAAGTATGAATGTGCTAAACCAGTGTCCTAGATGGGGGCAATAGCCCTGGAGTCTCTTCCTGTGTGCTATGAACTTGATGTGGTTTGCTGAGCAAATCGCAGTCTCTATTCTTATGGGGAAAATAAGGACATTGAATGTGGCGATTTGTAAGGTATTTTTCATCTCTAAAATGATTTCATGAAAACAAAATGCATTAGCCATTCCTTCTTTTAAATATGTCATCTTTCCTGAATGCCAAAGGGGACTCCTTAAAACAAAACAAAACAAAACAAACAAACAAACAAAAACAATTGCTTCCAACCTATGTATTACCTTGTTAAATTAAACCCAAGACTTGATCCTAATAACTATGTACATGACAGGTAGATACTAGGCTTATTGTGGTGATCGCTTTGTAACGTATATAAATGTTGAATCACTATTTTGTATACCTGAAACAAGTATAATCATGTATGTTAACTATAATTAAAAATAAAGTAAAAAAAATAAATTTTTCTAACTTTAAAAAAAAAAGAATTGAAAAACAATGCAGGATCATCTGGCCATGTCAGATAAGGTAACTAAACTTAACCAAACAAATGAAAATAATACTGCCACTATGAGCTCAAAAGGAAAAGCTTGCCCAAGATTTGTTTGAAAGGGCTTTTCAAAATATGTATTGTTTGTACAGTTGTCAGAGTACAAGTGGATGCCAATTGAGGTATTAATAAAGGGGTTTGAAAGTAACGATTTTGAAAAAATTATCTAATGTGAAGAGGAGATAATATTTTAATGTGTTCCAATTAGTCGCCGTTTCTATTAGCAAATACTGAGTTAAACAGAAATTTAATTACCTTGCTCTCTAGCAAAGATCAAAGGATAATTGAAGTGATATCTCAATTAACACATATTCAGAGTACAAAGCTTCTTTCCACAAAGTCTGCCCAGGTAGGAGTTAAGGGTTCAGGGAAGCTGAGATCTCCTTAAGGATGGAAGAGGCATTGATGGTCAGAGCTCAGGCTGAGACTCAAAACTGAACTGCAGCTCTATACTTTCTCCTAGTTCACTGTTTCAAGGGCCAGGAGCAGCTCTCTTTACTTGTAGGCTGGATTGGCTGCATAATTTGCAGGCACTAGCACAAAATGAAAATGATAATCTAAGTGGAACTTGTTTAAAAATAATTACGAACTTCAAGACAACAACAGCAGAGCAGTAAGTCAAGCATGTAGCATAGGCTACAAGCCCATGAAGCTGGCTCTGCTTGGGGCTGGAGAGATAGAACATCCCATTGACGTTCAAAGGAGACAATAAGTACAGGAGGGAGCACTGGTCTTCAGTCATATTCTAACTCATATCTTGACTCTACCACTATTTAGCTGAGGGACCTTGTGCAAGTCACTTATCTTCTGTGTTGTCAGCTAGATGAGAAGGTACTTGGACCAGCTAATCAGAGCTTTTGAAGACGTGTGTAGAATAAGGAGACCAAAGGGTTCAAGAATGAGGAAATTGTGGGGAAAAAATGATGCTGAAGAGGGTGTGTTTATGTGTTTGTGTGTTGCACACGTGTGTGCATACACACGCACATTCGTTGGTGTCCACTGAACATATGTGATGTTGGCCTCCCTTGACCCTGTATAGCATAAATTAAGGGACAAATCCTGAAAACTATGGAAATATAGTATTAACAAGAGGCATCTAGCAGCGTGTAAGCCACATTAACCCTTTACTTTATTGAAAACTGTTCTACAGAGAAACAAACAGATCAATATTACCTTGGAAATAGGAAAAGTATATTTCATGTTGGTTATCCAATTGTTATTAGTAGTTCTTAACCAGAGGGATAATTAGAATCATCTATAGAAAATTTTTAGCGTATAATTGCCTAGATTTGACACTCAGACATTCTTATTCAGTCAGTCTATAATGGAGTCTAGATATGTGAATTTTTTCAAAGAACCAAAAGTGATTTTTATTTGGGAACTAACCACTGGTTTAAGCTCTCTCTATTTAGATTTCAGTCTTATGCTTTTTTGATAATTTTCTGATGTATTATTTGCTTAGACTTATTTCTAAAGGGAACTACTGTAGGTTTCTACTTGGGTGTGGCACTGCTTATGCCATGTAAATGATGAAAAACAAATTATGTCCAATGGCCCTGGTTCTTGTGGGGCTTTGGTGAAAAACACACATAAATGGACATCTTTGCATCCTTTTTACTAAAAGATAATTTATACATATGTGTATACGTATTTATATATGTACAGCTCTTTGATAAAAGCTGGATTTACATATATATGTAAAATATATATAGGGGCTCTTAAATTTAGAAGTATGTATGCATTGCTTGAGCTTGTCTAAAAGCCAATTTCCTACCCATCTGTGGGTGGTGTGGGGATGAGGAGTGGCCCCAGGAATCTTCCCTAGATGATTCTGATACAGGAAGACCATATCATATCATATGATAGGTGTCATCTTTGACTGGTTCTGTGGTCTGACCTCTAGAGCTTTAAAACTGAGCAAGGCACAGCAGAATAAATACAATTGCCAAGCAACATACAAGTTCTGTTTTCCATGTACTTTTCTCTTAAGCTCACTAAATGTCCCTTGAGTGCCTGGCTCAATACCAGTGACTTTCACTTATTTGATCTTAGTTGCTCCTCATAACAATGTACTGAAGTAGGCATTATTGTCCTCAAGTTTAGTGACCTACTCAATCTGAAGCACATTCTCTAAAAGGAAGTGTCACCTGAGTCCCTGTTTTTCTAACTTATTAAACCTGTTTCTTCATCTTTAAATTGGAGATAATAAAAGTACCTACCTTATATGAATGTTGTGTAGAGTAATTGAAATGGTGCTTGACATATGGTAAGTACTCAACAAATATTAGAGAACTGGAATCACCCACAAATAAAATATTCTCCAAAGCAGTTCCAATCAAATTAGAATCTACAAAAGAAAAGGACCCTTCAGGGTGAAAGACGAAGACATTTCTAGGAGAATGAGCAGGAGGCAGAGCTGAAACTTTGCCAAGATTGAGTCTTAAGTATCTAGAATTTAAAGGCACATCCCTTGTCTCTGACAAACCTAGATTTGGACAGTAGCTTAGAGTAGCATATAAGAACTATGAAAAGACATGCAATTCTTAACTTCATAGTCTTCATAATCTTAATTCTTAATTCCTTCTCTTTGAAACTTGAGTAATTGAGGAGAAAATAACTTCTTCCTCTGGCCTGAATCATGTGTTTGTGCAGACGATCCTCTGGATAGGTAAAGCTGAGCATCAAGGATCCTACTGTCTGGATTATGTTTTGTGAACGAGCTCACCATCATTATATCCATCCATAGTCTCCTCCACTCTGTGCTAGAGATGCTTTTAAGGGATTTATAGTCTCAAGGAAGAAACAGAAAGAAAAGTTACTGATAATTCAAGATATCACAAATGCCAAGGAGAATAGCAAGGACAAGACAGTCTCTGGAGTTTAATAGAGATAAGCTGTGAGGTGGGCCAGATGGGAGGTTGGGCTTTGTAAGGTGAATGGTCAGGGAGAGAGCAGTCCATGGAGAGTCCTTTTATGCAGAGGCCTGGATGACTGCAGATGACGCATCCGGGTGAAATAAATTTGCCTGGAGAAGGAGAGATTGTGTTGGAAAGTGTGATGGTCAACTTGGCTAGGCTACATTCTCTAGTTATTTAAAAACTAATGTAAGTGTTACTGTGAAGGTATTTTATAGTTGTGCTCAAAGTTCATAATTGACTTTAAGAAAGGAAAATTATCCTAGATAATCTAAGTGGACCTGATTCAATCTGTTGAAAGGCCTTGAGAGCTGAAATGAGCTTTTCCAGAAGGAGAAATTCTGCCTATGCCCTGTAGCCTCAGCCTGTGCCAGGAGTTCTGACCTGCCTTTCCTGACAGCCTGCACTGTGAGCGTTGCACTTACCCAGCCAGACCCCACAATCGCATAAGCTAATTCCTTGCAATAAATTTCCTAATGTAGGTCTTCTGGTTCTGTTTCTCTGGTTGAAACCTGAATGGTATAGAAGCACTACCATAGCCTATCATTGTTTTAAAATGAGCTAAAGCACTCTTTGGTGACATGTCACTCTTCAAGCTCAAGGACAGGCCATTTTTCAGACAACAGAGTTGCTGAAACAGCAGGGAGATCCTTTGTTTTTCCAAAGGCCCTAAAACTGTTCATGAGTCAGAAAATCTACTCCCAGGTTAATCCAGTGAGTCAGTGTGGCCAACTTGCTTGCTGAATCAGTTGTGACTGCTGGCAGAACTGAGTTTGATCTTATCTGTATGATTTTACCCACAAGCACTGTTAACTCTTTCTAGTAGCATGAAATTTCTGCCTCTTAAAAGAATTCTGTTACATTGGCCAGTTCCCAGTGTGCTAGCAGTTCCAGGATTGGTGAGAAGATTGACAGGTTCTGGTTAAACTGTCTGCCCTGTCCAATACCACCAGACCAACCAATAAACAAGGCAGTCGACACTATGCAAGAGATTAAGGCTTTGAGTGGGTGTGGCTCCTTAACGCTTTTTTTTCTTTCAGGGATATGATGAGCTTAAAATTCCTGTTCTCAGCAGGAGGAAGGAGTAAAGAACCTACTTTTAGTTGGGCTCCCTGCATTATAGGTAAAAGGGTAGGACTCTCCCAGGCCCAGTCTGCTCTTTTGAGAAATCTTTGCTCTGCTGCAGGCACACAGCATGGTGACTGTTATATTTTATTTCTCACCGTACCATAAGTCTACTTACATCTGCAGCAGCGGGCCTGGCCATCCTACCATTTTTGGGATTCTCCGAAACTTTTTGAGAGAGAGGGGGCGTGGAAGTGAATTTATTTCCCAAAGGGAATCATTTCTTTTCCAAAGCTATCATATAATAATTACAGGATTGGAAAACCACATTAGGGTTCTGTCCCCTCCACTTAGAAGGTATTTTCACCCCTTTTGTCCTTGTAACCGTACTTCATGGCCCAGCTCAAGGCTCAGTTCCTTGGCACATGGCGATCTCCCTTTTCTGAAATCCCCAAACACATGATCTAGACCTTTCTTTTGGTGCTTATTGCCCATGGACTGAGGTTTTGATATGTGTTTGTTTTGCCTTCTGGTGTAAGTCCTGGATTGTGTGTAGTCTTCTCTTTTCCCTGTTCTCTCATGATATGATACTCTACTGCTGTGTGGTTCAATACAGTAGACACTAGCCACTGGTGGCTATGAAATGTGGCTAGTTCGAGTTGAGATATGCTATAAGTATAACATATACACACTGAATTTCAAAGACAGTACAAAACAAAGGTATATAAAATATCTCATTAATGAGATTGAAATGTTGATAATGTTTTTGATGTAATAGGTTAGATTAAATATATTATTAAATTTTACCTCTTTTTAATTTTTTTCTAATGTAGCTATTAGAAAGTTTAAGATTCCATATGTGGCTCATACATGTGACTCCTGATATTTCTATTGTTCAGTAGTCCCCCCTTATCTGCGGGGGATGTGTTCCTAGACCCTCAGTAGATACCTGATTGTGGATAGTACCGAACACTATATATACTATGTTCTTTCCTATGCATACATACCTATGATAAAGTTTAATTTGTAAATTAGACACAATAAAAGATTAACAACAACAAATAATAAAATAACAACGTAGTGTAATAAAAGTTATGTGGATGGCTTTGGGACCGTTATTAAGTAAATATAAGGGTTACTTGAACATAAGCACTACGATACTGAGACAGTCAATCTGATAACCCAGATGGCTACTAAGTGACTAACTGGCAGAAAGAGGGATGGCGAGATATTTCATTATGCAACTCAGAACGACATTCATTTAAAACTTATGAATTGTTTATCTCTGGAATTGTCCGTTTAATGTTTTCAGACCGTGTTTGACTAAGGGTAACTGCAGATAAGCGGAACTACTGTAATTGGCAAGAATGTTGGGCTTGGGGTCATTGGATCCTGTCTCTACCACTTACTAATAATGAGGCTATTAACAGACTACATCGTTTCTCCATTTGATGTTTCTTAAACATTTTTTCATTAAAACAGAAAAGTGTACATATTATGAGAGTATAGCCTGATGAATTTTTCACAAACTGAACACATGCATAAAATGAGCACATTTACATCAGAAATAGAACATTAGCAGTTCCCCTGGAAGTTGGGCTGTCCTCCCCTCTGGTTATAACTCCGTACTCCCTACCAAAGATAACCACTATTCTAACTGCTAATCATAGATTAGTTTTGCCTTTTTGGGGTATTTTTTATCATTGGAATTACATAATGTGTACTTTTTTGTATTGGGTGTCCTTCACTCCACAAATGTTTGTGAGATACATGTGTTGCTATATGTAGTTGTAGGTCATTTATTCTCATTGCCATACAATAGTTCATTGATGAATAGTCCAGAATTTAATTATACATTCTACTACTGATAAACATCTGGATTTCTAGGTTTTAGCTGCTATGAATAGTTCTACTATGAGCATTTATGTATATAACTTTTGATGTAGCTATTTCTTTTGGGTATGTCTCTTGGTTTCTATTTGGTATATACATAGAAATGGAACTCTGGGTTATACAGTGTGCTGTGTTCAGCTTTAGGAGATAATGCCAGCAGTTTATAAGAGTTCTGATTGTTCCACATCCTTGCTAACACTATTGTCCGCGCTAACACTACAAGGGGGCTACTATTATTAATCCAATTTTCAGATGAAGAAAAAGAGGCACAGAGAGATCTAATAAGAGCTCGAATCTGAAGAAAATCTGACTCCAGAACCCCCATTTCTTAACTATGTGAACTTACTATCTTGAATCTTTAATTTCCTGATCAAAAAAAAAAAAAATGATGATAACAATAGTATCTACCTCTCAGGGCTGCAGTAAGATTAAAATAAAATCAAATTGTTTATGTGAAGTACTCATGTAGTGTCCAGCACACAGTAAATGTTTATTATTGTTGTTGTTATTTTGTGATGGAAAGAATCATTTTAAACTTTCGATGGGGTAGATAATATGATTGTGTAAAGGAGATTACTGTTAAATACGTGAAGGTTTCATTTCTTATATTAGGTCCTGTCTGCAGCCTCTGTGTCTCATCTTTTGGAGCAAGACCTGTGACGATCTTCAGTGGCTTCATGGTGGCCGGAGGCCTAATGTTGAGTGGTTTTGCTCCTAATATCTACTTTCTATATTTTTCCTATGGCATTGTTGTAGGTAAGAAACTTGATTACTATAACTTTTCTAAGTGTCAAGAGTTAATCATCATTTTACCAATGTTGGGTTTTTATTCAGTTAATATAACAAATGAAAATGCTCAGTGATAATTACTTCCAATGGCTACTTCACCAAAAGTTGTTGCTTTAGTAAAATGTCCACCAGTGAATCAAAATATTTGGAAGGATATTTAACAACGCACATCATGTTTTCTCGCAAGGCACAGGAAGGTGTTTCATTTCAGTACTTTTCTCTAAAGCACAAAAAAGAAAAAAAAGAGGGAGGAGCATGAGACTTATATGTGACTGACATCTGTCACTTCTCACCAACTTAGGAAGTGGTCCCTTTCATATTGGACAGTTAAGCAGTGCTGTGTTGAGCTTTTTGTGCTCTAAACATCCTGCTGTTTCACACCATCTGTCACCAGGGCCCCATCTGTCACTAGGGCCCAGTCTGTCACAAAGTCACAGCAAAAGTAAAAAGCAGATTGTAAAGCACATAATAATTATTTTTTTTAAAATAAGGCATGAATGAAGAAAATTGTGTGGTGGGAATGATTGATGATGATCTTGGTTACAGGAGAGGAAAAGTAAAGAACTTGGGGCCTGAGAGCACTGACAGTTTTGATTTTGTTTTTCTTGGGGGAGTTGGGGTGGGAGCGGGGAGCAAGAAGGGATGCTTTCGTGATGTACTCAATGTTAAACATCACCAGACTCAGTATTTCAGGAGCTGCTGATAGGGAATTTGAAAAAGACGACTCCAGGTTTCAAAGTTTTTTCTTAGTGTCTGAAAGAACCAGTTTGTTGACTACCAATATTCCTCTCTTTTACTTGAGACTTTTCCGCAATAAGTAATAGAAAAAAATAGCAGCTAATATTCATTGAGCACTTACTATGTGCCAGGCTCTGTGCTAAGTGCTTTATCTGATCTTATTTATTTTTCACAATAACCTATTTTATAGAGAGGAAAAGTGAAGCTCAGAGCAGTGAAATTACTAACCAAAGCCACATAGTTAGTAATTGCATCCACTCAGTGTGATACCACATCCTGACTTTTGCATTTTTGTGATTATTTTTAGAGCTTTTAGAAGTCTTAGTGTTTATTTTAAATTTAACTATGTACCTTAATACTACTCAGATCTTAATCTAAATAAGCAGATCACTTTTTAGTTCTTTGAGAAGGTAGTATCTGTTTGATATTTTATATTTTCTGTAATGCTTAATACAGTTTTGAATCTGTCCTTCAAATATATTCTCACATAAAATTAGAGATAATCATTTTCCATTCTTGTCTAAAATCAATAAAAATAAAAATGTAGATATCTATGTTTATGTGCGAATGAGATTATTCCTTTTAGAACTTAGATTATTTCTTTTAAGACAAAAAGGACAAATTATTCCTTTTAGGACAAAATTCCGTTTAGAATTATACTTTTTACATAGAAATTGAATCATTCTGCTATTGCTATGATTTCGGCATTTTCCCCAAACTCTGGACTAACCATTTAAAATTTCATGGAGTTTTACTTCTACTCATGGTTTCAAGGTTAATTCAAGGAAAGCATTTGTGAGTACATATACAAAGTTGTCACTGACTGAAAAATTGACAAACAGTGATACCATAGCATTTGCATTACCTGTAGATAAAAATTAATTTTTTAAAAGAAAAAAGCCAACATTGTCTAAGATGTATATACATTTGATTGTGTCAGAAGAATATCTAAGAATATATAGACATAAAAAGACAAAATTAACTCTCACGACTAAATTTCAGAATTTCCGTGGTAGTGGAGAAAGCTTTACTAACTTGTGACGTTGATGTTGATTTGGTTCATGTCATTGGAACCTTTCAATAGCTAACACTGTCCCTCTCCCCTATGAACCCATGATCTTCAGTTAATTAGATAGGATTTGATATTGGTCTTGGTTTATTCTTTTGGCTGCAGATGGTGGTGGTGATGTGGTTACAAGGCTTCCACTGGCTTTCCCCACTGTGGTGACTTACTCCACTAGCCAAGAAACAGTGTAGGGGGTTCTACAACTAACACGTACGTGTGCTTCTTAAATATCAGGAACTGGAGAAATGGCCGTTGGATGTATCCATGGGTTCAACGAAACCACTGTGTGCCAGACCTGGGCCATGAACCCATATATTACCTGCCCCACCCCATGACCCCACTCTAAGAGGAGACCACTTAAATGCTTCAAGTCTCTAGTTAACAATGTCACCTGATACCCTGTGTCCAACGATGCTCAATACTTATCCTGCCTTCCCCAGTGCGTGATTATCTAGCAGAAGCTGGAGTTCTCTTGGGGAAAGATTCAGGATATCATCATTTATTTATTTGTCATAGAGTTTGCTGCAATGCCCCTCTTAGCCTCTTCAGTTAAGGGATTCTGGGTCAGAAAGCAAGCTTAGGTCTGGAGAATGCCTATGACTCTGATTTGGCAGTATGTTTTGAATTCCTGCAACTGGGAGGAAATTGTCAGAGAGACCACTAGGCTTCGAGTCAGGAGACATAAGTTCTGTGAGCTTGAGCAAGCCCCATGATCCCCACAAATGACTCTTCCCTCATCTGCAAAGGCAGGCTTAATAACCTATCTCATATAGGTCTTATGAGGGCTACACAAAGTCAAGCAAAATATAAATAAAAATAAAATAAATAAAAGACTTGAATTGGATTTCAATTAATTGAAAAAGTATCTCTCACTTTGGTAATTATCGGGGCCCTGTGAGCTACTCTTTGCTAGCAGATTATTAATACTTATTACCATGATTGACTTCTTTGTGGTTTTATTTCATCAATAGGCTCATAGTTTAGGACTCATAGAATATTTGTGGGATAAATAAATGGGATAGTAATGGTCAATGACACCTCCATTCTGTCACCATTTAAAGTGGAGTGTCCAATTGTAAAGGAAGTGACAGGAAATTATTACACAGTCTGAACTCATTCTCCTTTCTGTATTATGCGTTCCTTAGAAAAAAACAGATTCAGTCTAATGATAACATTCATAGAGCACCAGTTCTGTGTAGAATTGTATTCTAAGCATTTTCATTTGTCTGGAATGAATTAGATTATCTCTTAAAATAGTGTGGCAGAGGGAAGGAGCAAGCTAACAGGCAGGCTCTGGGTTTGGACCATGCAGGTTAACCTTATCAGATCCACTGTGTGACTCCAGATAACTTACTTATCTTGTTTTCTCATTTTTAAAACTGAGCATAATAATAGCATCCAACTTACAGGGTTTTGTGGATTGATGAGATAAAGGATAAATATTCACTAGCATAACCATTATTATTATTAGCTTTGTGACCTTGGAAAATTATTCAATCTCTCTGGCTTCTATATTTATTTTTTTTTATAAAATGGGACTACTATAAGTTCAGAGACATTGTGACTATTCATGATATAATGTATATAGAGAAGCACATAGGTCCCCACATCACAGTCACCAATTGTCCCAGTTTGCCCAGGACTAAGGAGTTTTCGAGGATGTGAGATTTCTAATGCTCAAACCAGGAAAGTCCAGGGCAAATATGAATGAGTTGGTCTCCCTCCCCAACACATAGAGTCTGGATTCTGTAGTTTCACACTTATCACTTTTTAAGATTGCCACATTAGAATTCACTGTTGCCAAAATATTTCATTTTCATAAAAATAATACTACAGGGAAAAATTTTTATTTTATGAATGTAGAGGCTTGATAGATGTCTGTTCAGTTACACACAAACATACGATAGCAAACACTCATATCCTCGCCACTTAAATTTAACAGTTGTTATTTTACTGTTTGCCTCCTTTTTATTTGCAAAGATATTTTAGACTAGATTAAAGAAGACATCATGACATTTTACTCCTAAATAAGGTAGTGTCATTGTAAGAACATACAAACCTGTAGAAAATTTTATGAGGGTTTATTTGAACCAAACTGAGGACGTGCCCGGAAGCAAGCTCTTAATCAATTGAGAAAATGCTGCTGAGGATGGCAGTTTTGCATTTTTTTTTATGCATTTGGAGTCAAAGGAGGGAACATAAGGATCACATGAAACCCATTGGTGGTAGACTAAGGAGGTGGGAGCAAGCCAGCTGGGGCAATCTCTGATTGTTGTATGAAAAATAAAATAGAGCGATATATACTTCGGGCCTTTGTTTTGCAAATTATGATGTTCAAGCTATGCACTCTAGCAAAATAGCTTGGGACGGCGAAGGGAATTTTGTAAAATTGTTTAGAGGACTTAGAGAAATAACACTCAGCTGAGAGCAGGGACTCAGAAGAGAGACAGAGATATCGAATGGGCACATCTGATTAAATTTTGTGTTTGGCGTGTGATTTAACCATTCTCTCTTCATAATGTCTTAAATTTGCATCATTCATTTATGCTTTAAAAAATTGGATTATTTTTTCCACTTGACCCTGACTTTATGGTAGGCGTAGAGTGAAAACAGCCTGCCCAAATGCGTCCATTGGAGCTGCACAACTAACACCAAAGGGATCTAGGAATCCATATTCTGAAGAGTTTTAGCAAGTCGGTAACAGAATATGCTATTGGAATTATTTCTCTTTTTTCCTCTTTTTTGTTTTCTTTGCATTGGAGTAATATAGTCTGTCTTAATTTATGCAATGTCTTCTTATGTTTAGGTCTCGGATGTGGTTTATTATACACTGCAACAGTGACCATTACATGCGAGTATTTTGACAGCCGCCGAGGTCTTGCACTTGGCCTAATTTCAACAGGTACATGTTCAAAATAAGTACAGCATCATCACTATTTAGCTTTCTAATCAAAGTTAAATTTACCAAGCACAAATATGTTTAACTAACCACGCCCCAGCTACCATTGATCTTGCTCTGTGGTGAACAGCGGTTGATAAACTAATGCCCATGGGCCAAATCAGGTCTACTGCCTGTTTTTGGACAGCTCATTAGCCAAGAAAGATTTTCGCATTTTTGTATAGTTTTAAAAAATCAACAGAAGAATATTTCACGGCATGTGAAAATTGAATGACATTCATTCTGGTATTAAAGAGTTCATCAAAGCATGAATGTATCTCTTACTGTTTCAGGTTCCCTGAACATCAATTGATATTTTTCCTTTTTGTGATATTGTATAATTTAGAGATGTATGGAAGCATAATTAGTGCTTTATTTCACTTTTCCCTTTACATTCATGATTTTTAAATTAGTATTTTCTTTTTGAAAATTAAAAATTCTAGTTTCACAGTTTATACAGTTCTATAGGAAAGCTCTGAATTATTCTTCATTGCCCTGAAAGAATTCCCGCATCTTTTTATGCTGTGGCTGCATTCTTGGGGGAAGTAGGCTGAGGAAACTAGTGTCCAAGGTGTAATTTGATTTTGCTGCTCTGTCATATACTTAACACATCATAGGTATTCAATAAATTTTGATTGAATTGATTTAATATGTTCCCTTCTATTTCATGATGCTGAGAGCTAAACTTGATTGGTGAGCAATAGAGAAGTTGTTTATTTTTCTCAATTTAAGGTCAAAATATACAACTTCCAGTACACCAAGAGTATACTTAAGTATCTGATGGTATGGCACTTTTGTTAGAATCTGTAAAAAGAATGGTATTAGACAAAAATATGAATTAACAGTGAATGGATGCTAATGCGGTACAGAAGTACGTGAAATAGTCATATTTCAATTCTTTCAGTTTGTTTTCTGAAGTGCTTTTTAGCTTTCCAAGTATGTGCCACTTTTAAAAAGATAAGGGAAGGACTAAATTTGTCTATTACTTGTTTTCAGAAATCAGCAAAGAGATACTTACTCTCTTAGTAGCTACACAAAGATATTATTTTAGCTACCATTACATTAAGGTGAGCTATAAATTAACATTTGCATGCAAATTTTTTTTTTTTTTTTTGGTGGGGGAAATGTTAAAGTGTTAACTTTCAAAATGTTTAGAAAGGGACAACTGTGGTCCCAAAGAAAAATGTTTTTTTATAACTCTAAGAGCCATTTGGTTATTTGTCAGAATTTTTAATAAGATGAGTTTTTGCTACAAGCATGGCATCCTGTTAAAGTTATGACATAATTTCGTATAGAACATTTAAAAAGTATGATCAATCTATTTACCTATTTTTTTAAACAGATCTATTTTTCTCTCGCTGTTTTACATACCTTTCCCAATGATGTTTAAATTTTAAAACACTCAATTTTTAAAAAGTTGAAATCAGAACACTGCAAATTAATTGGGCTGATGTAACTTGCTATTTCAGTGTGTTTAGTGTGATCTGTGCTAAAAACTGAGGAATTTATGGACTTGCATGTATGTGCAAACCAGGCATACTTTGCAATTTAAATACTCTATCAAATTCCACTTTATTCTTTTCATCATTTAGTAATATGAATCATGTATTCTGGTGATTCAGCAACAGATATGAACTATCAAACCATTACAAATATTCCATAAAAATTAAAATATATTCTTCATCTCAAAAAAATAAATAAATAAACATTTGTTTTTCCAAAGGGAATAAATTTATAACACAGAGCCTGGCACGTAATAAGTGCAAAAAATAGTAGTCACATAAGATATTTGTTACGAATATGGGCTCCAGGAGTCAGACTGATTATGAATCCTACTTATGCCATTTACAGCTTTGTGATCTGTGGCAAATCTCTCAACTTTTCTAGCCCTAGTTTACTTCATGTGTTGTTGGGAATAATAATAGGACCTACACAATACGATCATTATAAAGATTAAATAAGATCACACAATATAAAGTGCTTACCACAGTGTCTGAACTACAAATGCTAATTCTTAAAATAAATGTTTTATCAGTTTTACTATTATTGTTATCATTATCTATAATATTCTTGCTGTGATGTTCATATGAAGGCACACATGGATGCCATTGTAAAAAAGAAATTTAATTGTGATACCGATCATGCTTGTCCCAAGAGCCCCACATTATAAGAGATTAAGATTGAACAGCTCTCATTTCCTTTTTAGGTTCAAGTGTTGGAGTTTTTATATATGCTGCTCTGCAGAGGCTGCTGATTGAGTTCTATGGACTGGATGGGTGCCTGTTGATTGTGGGTGCTTTAGCTTTAAATATATTAGCCTGTGGCAGTCTGATGAGACCCCTCAAGTCCTCTGAATGCCCTTTGCCTGAAAAAACAGCTGTGGAAAATGTACCAGAAAGATACACCATTTACAATGAAAAAGAAAAGAACCTAGAAGAAAACATAAACATTCTTGAAAAGTGCTGCGGTAGTGAGGAAACATACAAAAGCACTTTAGCCAATGGTGACTGCAAACAAGAAAGTCTCCTTCATAAAATCCCAACAACAATGGCTCACACAAAAGAGGCCGAGACGTATAAAAAGAAAGTCGCAGAACAGACATATTTTTGCAAACAGCTTGCCAAGAGGAAGTGGCAATTGTACAAAAACTACTGTGGAGAAACTGTGGCTCTTTTTAAAAACAAAGTATTTTCAGCACTCTTCATCGCTATCTTTCTTTTTGACATTGGAGGGTTTCCACCTTTATTGCTTATGGAAGATGTAGCAAGAAGTTCAAATGTGAAAGAAGAAGAGCTTATTATGCCTCTTATTTCTATTATTGGAATTATGACAGCAGTTGGTAAACTCCTTTTAGGGATACTGGCTGACTTCAAGTGGATTAATACCTTATATCTTTACATAGTTACCTTAATACTCATGGGCCTGGCCTTGTGTGCAATTCCATTTGCTAAAAGTTATGTCACATTGGCTATACTTTCTGGGATCCTAGGGTTTCTTACTGGTAATTGGTCCATCTTTCCATATGTGACTACGAAGACTGTGGGAATGGAAAAATTAGCCCATGCCTATGGGATATTAATGTTCTTTGCTGGACTTGGAAATAGCCTTGGACCACCAATCGTTGGTAAGATATTTGTCTTAAAGTCAACCCATTTCACTGTTCTTCTCTGTGGCATTTCAAGATATAGAAATTTGGAATGCAATAACAGCACAGGTTTGCACAAAATAAATCTGCATGGAATGTCTTGTGGTAATGATTTACTCAAAATTACTTTGATATAATTGAAAAAGCCACTTTTCTTGTTCAGGGATTTATGTTTACTCTTTATCTGGGAGAAACCCAAAAAACCTGCTTATTCTTGTCCAAATTTTTGAAAACTTCTCCTCTTGTAATTCCCAGTAGGCCACTTTGGGAGTAGATGGAATAAGTATCCTAATTCTAACTGCATATAAAATTGATGGAATTAGAGTATGGGCTTCATATTCATACTATTTTCTATAAAACTCACTTTTTTCTTACTTTCTTTTCAGGTTGGATTTATGACTGGACCCAGACTTATGACATTGCGTTTTATTTTAGTGGCTTCTGGGTCTTGCTGGGAGGTTTTATTCTGCTCCTGACAGCCTTGCCCCACTGGGAAGTATGCAACAAGCAACTCGCCAAGCCAGCCCCAACAACCTTTCTGTACAAAGTTGCCTCTAATGTTTAAAAGAATGTTAGAAGTCAGTAAAAGACTGTTTTTTCATAGCCAAATTTCACTGTGGCGGACTTTGAATGAATTTTTAAAAAAATATCCTATGTAATCTATGTAGTCTATGTAGTCTCTATGTAGTCTCTATCTCCTGTATTTTTTTTTCTTTGTTTTCTTTTCCCAAGAAGTGGGAGAAGTATTGTGTTTTGCTATTATTCATGAGTCCTTGACATTATAAAAATTTTGGTCAGCTTCAGAAGACTTTCTTTGTGTAAAGAAATAATTTCTCTGCAGACTCCATCAGTTCCACTGCAAGATATCCAGAGGGGACTCTCCTGTTTTAAAACTGCAAGTAGCATGATGAGACTAGGGACTCAAACCACTAGGGACTAAACCACTCTCTTCTCTATGTTAGACTAGCTGGTAAATAGAAGACTTTGAGCCAGTCAAGAAATTAAAGTGGTTATTAAAATGACATTAAGAATTGCAGTGTAGCAAACTGATCATTTTTTTTTTTTTAAAAAAGACATTTTCAAATACAGTCACCAGTTTTCATTATTCTATTTTATTTACCTTGGTGAAGCACCTATATGTTTGGTGCCCACTGAGCAGTAGTTGCTGTAGCCTATCTTCATGGTTGGCTGCTATAACCCTGCTCAGTTTTGGTTTGTCAGCATCCATTTAGCTGGTATTTTCCAGGAAGTGCTTATTTTACCTGTTTCCAAATTGGAAATGCATGTTCAAAACATTCCGTTTGGCAAATGGGAAACATCCATTTGCTTTGGGCACAGTGGGGACGAGTTGCAAGTCCTTGCAATATCTTCTTGATTTATTTGCTACTGTCAAATTTTACCACTCTCACATTTTAATTCAAGGGCAGAGCTAAAAGTGCGTGCGTGCGTGCGTGCGTGTGTGTGTGTGTGTGTGTGTGTGTGTGTGATGTTCTGAGTCTGTGTGGGACACAGGAAGAGAAAAAGGCAATAAGAAGTTGATACCTATTAAGAAGAATGTTCTAGGAGAAATCAATGTTTAATAAACTGATATTTTTTTAAAGAAATGTTTTTAAAACTTTGGTTTGCATCAGAATCCTCTATAGATACTTTTTAAAATATGATTGCCTGAGCACCACTCTTAGAGACTTTAATTCTGGAGGTCTAGGCTGTGGGCCAAGGATCTATATTTTTAATGAACTCTTCATGTGATTCTGGTAATACGGCCTGGGGCGAGAATGACTGTTAAAAGACTGGCAACACAGAAACATTTATTCTCTTTAAAAAATAAAAAAAAAGCCAGTAAACCATTGAGGTGATGGGTGTTTATAAATAGTCAAGTGTGGTTCTTTAAATTGGAGGCACTCTTCCTATTGTGCCAAAATTGTCTTTTCATTTCTTTTGAAATATGTAAGATTATTTCATACTTCTATGTTGCCTTTCTTTGAAGGCGCTTGAAGCACTTTATAAGCATGAATTGCCACAACACCTCATTGAGGTGGGTAAATAGTGCTTTTCTATGTAATAAACCTGGAGTATAGGGAATTTCATAACTGAGTTTATCTTATTCAATAACGAAATAATGGGGCTCCAAAGTGCCTTAGACTTCTGCTCCATACTCAATCTTCTGGAAAGTTTTCCGTACCTCATTCTTTAGTAACTGTCAAGGTTAGTAAATAAAATGAGTGACATTAAAAAAAAAATGTGTTTTGTGTTGAAAGTTCCTTCTTGCCAATATTATATTCAGGAAATCCAATAACCTGAAAAGGTTTAACTTTTATGACTACCCACATTCATCAATGTTGTTAATTGTCCGAATGCATCTTCACTGTGTCTGCTAATGTCATCCAATGTGTGCATTATCCATTGTCTAGGGAATGAATGTTCAGATACAATAAAATATTTTTGTTTGTTTTGCATCAGTTTGGTTGCTTTTTCTCTTCTTAGCCAGCTGCCCTACCCACTCCCAAATTATATACAGTGACACTTCACTTGAATGTAAAAACATAAATTACCCAACGTCCACTTCAAACTGCAGAATTTGATGATTAGATATCAGCATGTTCAAAAGCTATTTGCTAAATTATTTTGACTGTTGCCTTCCAAAAAGGCAATATGTCAGTCCTACAGAATCCTTTTAACGAAAATGGACAAACTCCCCTTCAAGATTCTTAATAATGATCTCGCTAATCTTTAATGGAATTCTTAATACGTTCCAAGCATGTTACATTATTTATCCCTGTGAGATGGGAATTATGATCCTGATTGTATGGTACAAAATGTAATTATCATGGTATGGATAACGCATGTAAATAATTTCCAAAAGCAAAAAGAGAACAGTTTCTAGTAAACCCTTTGATTTCTAACATGGCTAAGGAATGGGGCCTAGCTGGGAGAGTAGCTACTAAAGTCAATCTTTGTGCATAGAGATGTCACGTTTATGTTAGTAATTATTCACGACTGTCTATTTCCTGGGAATTAGCATTTTAAAAACACAATAATGAAATTAAATTGATTAGAATATAATCTTTCAGGGGTAGGCCCCTAGTGTAGTGGTTAGCACATCTGCTTTACACGCAGAAGGTCCTGGGTTCGCACCCCAGATGGAGCCACGGACCAGGCCCCGGTGGATGCCGTGAGCGTGTGGGGGGGACATCCCACCTTCAGAGATCCAATTCTTAAGGGGAACGGCAACATCCATAGGTCAGGGGTGGAAGTGAGGGGGGCGGAATTAAAGAGGGGAAAAAAATTATAAAAAAAGAGAATATAATCTTTCTTTTGTGACTCCATAGATATTTCTTGACATTCCGAGTACCTGAGACTGAGCTGGAGAAGGGTGTGAAGGGTTTGTTAGGGGCCCTCTTCCCTGACTTTATAGCCTCTTCACACCTCTCAGCCTTGTCTCTCTCTTTCCGTCCCTCTCTCTCTCTGGAAAGCCTCCTAGGAGCCAGTTGGTGACTTAATTTTCTCTAGAGTGACCTTGTCATCATCAGGGGAGAAGTTTCAGATACCAACTTGGAAAGGTCCCAGGAGGAATAATTTCAGCACTGGGAGGTTATGACCGAATGGTATGTCAGCCCTGTTTTGCTGGCTGGAAAGTCCCGTGACCTCAGAAAGCCTCAACTTCTAGCAATCAATATAGGATTATCTTAACTCAGGACATTCCAGGAAATAAAGGAAGAGCTCTATTTTTAAGGAAGAATGTCTCATTTTTTCTTTTACTTAGAAGTAGTAGTATATGGAACACATAATATACATAATTTACGATAGCAGTGCCAAACAATTTCTCCTTCATAGATTACAATCTTGGGCCTTTTTCTCTACAGTCAATTGTGTTGGAAAGATGCCAGTTAATAAGATGTCTCTTTGAGTAAGGAGTTTAAGCACAACTGATTAGAAATCTATGAATACAAGGATAATATTTGGAGATGCAGTATACATACTTGTTAAGGCTGTGATTCCGGGGTTCAAGTTCTAGCCTGTTTCCTGTGGCTGGGTAATTGTGAGCAAATTATTTAGCCTGTCAAAGCCTCAGTGTCCTCATTTGTCAAATATGTCATAGGGGCTTTGTGGGAATTAAATAAGATAACCCATATATATGCCTGCATATGTTCAGTACATATTACCTATTATTATTTTTATTATTCTTTAGTGTATGGCTTCTCAATACCTGAGGGAGGTAGCAAGTGTTCCTGGGCACAGGTGTGGAGTAAATACGTGCATCGAAGGACCTCATTTAAAAGAAGAATAATGAGCCTCTGTTTTCTCTAACTTGAACAACTATCACAGCTCTTGCCCTCCCCCAAGCATGTTCTTGTCAAAATCTTTCATCCTTAGGGGTTCATGACTCAGCACGTTTTTTCTGGAATTGCCATTCGGAAGCTCTGACACAAAACAAAACAAAAATACATGCTGTTCTTCCACAAATCAAATAGAATCCACTTTGTAAATTAAATTGCTATGGGAATTTGGACTTTTATATATTTTTTTTCCTTAAGAACTCATCATCCGAGCTGCTTGGAAGGCAGGCCTGGAATTGGGCAGAAAGCAAAATGCTCCCATTTGTTTACTGAGCACTAATTGGCTTGGCTCGGGGCCCTTCCCCCACTGCCTTCCCAGGAGGCCTTTGAGATTTACTCTTGAGGGAGTGTAATTCATTGCCAGGTCTTCTGGGATTCTATTCCCAGCAGGTCTCCGTGATATTAGTAGCTTCTTTAATACATACATTTCTTGTCCTAAAGAGTCATTTACTTTTATTCTCTCACTCTGCAAAAAAATTTAAAATATATATGTATTTTTAAATGTTTTATCAAGCTTTTTTTGAGTGATAGACTACAACCTTTGGTAAACAGCTTGTTTTAAATAATGAATAATTAACTACAAAGTGCTGTCCTGTTGTAGGCTACTTTAAAACTACGAAGCCACAGATATATGCCTGTTTTTCTTTCTGGAAAAGTTCCTATTGTGATAAGGCAAGTTGTTATTCCTCCATCTAAGATCTGAGAACTCCTGAACATCTATAGGTTTAATAGGACATTTCTAAGTGTAGGCCAAATGACTCTAGAACCTTAATAACAAAGACCAGGAGGGACCCGTTTTATCAACCTCTAAAGGGTGATGGGCCAAGGTCAGCAATCATTTGCATACAGCCTCTAAGGCTGCTGAGAAGGTGCCGTTTGAGAACTCTTGGGCAGGATCTCCTCCTGATGGAAATATATCTGCCTAAAGGTGAACAAAGGCTCAGTGGAAGAATCATCTGAGGCCAAGGCCATGATACACAGAGAGTCAGGATGAACTCAGGTACCTGTACAGAACTGTAGAGTACTGGTTTGTCTGAAGAAATGAAATAATATATAGAACCTACCTCTGCCCAAGACAAAACGGCTGTAACCTCCATGGGGTGTTTTAGCAGTCACTAGCTGAGAAGCATAAGCAGAGACTAGAACTATGTCTGTGCCTTGTTTCCAAAGCCCTGGGAAGTGATATGAACCAAGGAAAAGTAACAACAGGAGCATCAAGGAGCCCTAGAAGCCAGCTCTGATGGAACTAGGAATAGATGTCCCAAAGAAACGTGGACAAAAAAGGGGGTTCTATGGAAAGTAATTTTGAGACAGGACATCACTTGTAAAATTCTTAATCTTTTAGCAGGGAAATAAAATAGGACATCTCTTGCAGAGTTAATCTTGTTAGTAACTCTAGTTAAGTTTTCTTCCCTCCTTTCTTTGGAAAAAAGGCCCTCTTCTTCAAATCCTGATAATTACCCTGGTGACTCAGATCCTCTGGCTATTGATAAGGGTCATCAGCCCATTGTTAAGCAGAAATGGTGTTAAGCCAGTCAGGGCCCTTAGAGTCTGAGGGGCGAGAGGACTTTAAGCCAAAGGTCTTTCTCTTTCACACTTTAAGAAACATATTAACCAAGCCTGTTTCCCTTTACTCACTTAATAGGCAAATCAATAATAGAAATTATTAGATGTATGATTTAAATAACGAGTTTATATTTTCTTTTCCTTATCTAGGGACTGAGGTGGAAACCCAAGACCCCACCCTGACTGAGGCGGGAAGGGAAAGAGCTCCATGAAACCCCAATAGGCAGGGACAATGACCCTTCTCAGTAGGGCGCAGATATGGACGAGGAAAGTTAGGGGGTTTCGGGTCTACCTGAAAGACACTGAGGTCATCCTATCTTAGAAGGGGTCCGCCCTAATCCACCCACAATTAAGCAAGCCAGAAAGCATCTTTTTTAACTTACACAAAGAAACAAGTAGGCAGAGATTTAGGTACCAGTTTAAGCCAGTCACTTACACCTGCACAAGGAAGACCCCAATGACCTTCAACTCACCTGAGTCTCATTATACCATCATTATAATATGATGCATGTGTCCAGAAGTTCATTAATATTAGAACAGACTGAATTCCGAGAACGAACATGCACAGAAAACAAAATGATGAATCACTGAGTCCTGTCAATCTTAGTTGTCAATCAAAGAAGCCCACTCCTCTAAGAAAAGTAACCACCTACAGCAAAAAAGGGATAAAGACCCTGAAGTCTTTGTTACCAGGCCTTTTGAGCCACTCTTCTCTTGCTTAGGCCCACTTCCACATCTGGAAGTGTACTTTCCCTTCTAATAAAACTTTTCTTTTCTACTGTATTTCGGTGTCTTACTCAATTCTTTGTTTGAGACATCAAGAACCTAGACAGCACACTGGGAGAAGACCCCACTCTCTGGTAACAATTTCATAGGGTGACCTAATCATAAATTTGTAACTAGGCAGGTTGTGGTGGGTAGTCACATCCTAGGACTACAGCTTCTTTACTAAAAGGCTCATCTTTGCCTTAAGCAAGCCCTGTCCATTGTTTGTATGCATCTAGTTTAACATACCTTTGAAATAAGCAGAAACCAACCACAAGAGAGAACTGTAATCTTAACTACACTGTAATCCAATCCCCATCTTGCTTTCTCCCACCTCGATGTAATATTTCTTACTTTCCCTCTTTAATTTTAAATATGTAAAATAAGCTGCAAACTGTTATTCTCTAAAGCAGGGGTCCCCAAACCCCTGGCTGCGTACTGGTGCTGGTTTGTGGCCTATTTAGGAACTGGACCGCACAGCAGGAGGTGAGCGACGGAGGGCAAGGGAGCGAAGCTTCATCTGCATTTGCAGCTGCTCCCCAGCACTAGCATCACCGCCTCGGCTCCCACTCAGATCATCAGGCATTAGATTCATAGGAGCACCGCTCCCTGGTGCCAAAAAGATTGGGGACCGCTGCTCTAGAGCATTTGAGAGCTTGCTCCCTGGCATATGTCATAAGTTTGGTTCAAAGAGACTTATAAAAAGTCTCTACAAGTTTGATGTTTCTTATATAGACAAACTTGAGAGTAAGTGTGTGTGTGTGTGTGTGTGCGCGTGTGTGTGTGTGTGT